GGTTGTCCAGGTACAACTTGATTCTTAGACCATTTAACTCTGAAGCCTATCCTTTTCCACTCAGCCTCTTCTGAGAACCCAGAATAAAGCAAAAGAAAAAACTTGGATAAACTCTCCAGAATCCTACAGAGGAGATCAGCTCATTCACTTATTTATCTGCACAGGGATCTTTCCTGTCTTCCCTGGAGTAGGTAGAAAAAGGATCAGAAATTAAGGATAGACTTCGCCGGTTGGGAAGGGAATGTGGCTGCAATGGCCAGTATCTGTGTCGTCCTGGCATGGCTGTCCCTTTATGAAAGAACAAGTGCTAAAAATTCCTTCTATTTTTACAAAGCACTCTTCAGGCAAGGATCTCAAAGCACAATGTAATTAATAAAATCACCCACATCCTGTCTAGATGAGTAGCATTTTATACGAACAAATTCCTCTCTGCCCCCAGGCCCTTTAAGAGTAAGAGAATGTTTCCAATTTTAAAGGGTGAGCAATAGAGTAATTGAAAGGAGCTGTATCTTGGCCAACTCAAAAGACCTCAAAAGCATTTATGGTGACCTATATGAGAAACATGGTGACCACAAAAAGTGTCATAATGGCTCATAATCCATGCTGTGCTAAATGGTTCAAAGATAGAAAAGACAGGGCAAGAATAAAACATTCAGTTCTTAAGAGTCAGCTGCCCCTGGGATTGATATTCTGATCTGTTTGGTCAACTCTCCAAAGGATCTAGAAGCAGTAAAGTGATGACATTAGCTGATGATTCAGTTACTTGGGTTAATCAAGGCAGAGGGGACAGACGGGGCCAATTAAGTAGCTGGGCAGCCCAATGATAGATGAATCATTATGGGCAAGTGCAAAGATAATGCCATTGGGAAAAGCAATTTAAGATGTTCATGTACTTGCAGGCCAGGAAATCCTTCTAGTCTTTGAGGGGGGTCATTTAGGAATCATCAGACCCACCCAGCCTGATGAAGTCATCTATTCTTTGGGCTGCTAACGATCAACAAAAGAGCTGAATGCACGAGGGACAGGCCATATGGAATACATTTTGGTGGCTGGGATGTATATCTTTGCCTTTATTACAATCATCTTCTTTAAAACAAGTCTTACTCTGTCCCTCTTGTCTTTCCCCTTCCTGTCCACAATCTCTCCCTACTTCTTATGTTCCCATCTTCCTAAATACACAGACTCAATGTATGGTTGAAATTTTTTGAAAAAAAAAAAGGCAAATATTCTCCTACCTAATTTCTAGTTCTTTCCTTCACATAGGTTGCTCTCTGTAAACAAAACATGTTTCCAAGGGATGCTTCAGCATGTTTCAAAACAGGTTTTTTAAGCTGCAAGGAGGCTGTGTCTATAAAATTTATACAAATGGCTCTATACTTCTCCAAACCCCTTACTTGTATTCAAGTTTCAAACCTGAAACTTTGAGGGAGAAGGCCTATCTTTAAAAAAAAAAAAGGAGTTGAGTGGGAAAACAAAAGCCTATGCTAATTAAAGTAAACCATACTTGTAAATCCTTAATTTTTAAAACCAAAGTCCCAATCAGGAACCTGAAAGTAAACGTTATCAATCATGGCCATGTTGATAAATCCAGTGAACACTATTGTATCTCTTGATCTATGTTCTCTCTCCCCATTTGCTATTTACCTGTTTTTTAAGTTCATCCTCCACTTCCAAACCATTAAATGTTGGATTCTTCAATCCCTGTACTTTTTTTTAAAACAATTGACCCAGAGTTTCACCTTCATCATGCCCCACACTCAACTACATCTTGCCTGGTTCTCAACCACTCTGTTCTACAAACCATAGGATCATTGCATCTGTTCTGTTTCCTGTGCCTGGAATGCTCTCCTCTGGTTTTGTTTGTTTGTTTTTTTGTTTGTTTGTTTGTTTGTTTTGCCAGGTTAACATTTGTTCATCCTTGAGATCTAAGCTCACTTACCATATATTGACTTCCTCAGACTTGGTCCAATCTAATATGGGCTCTCATAAAACCAAATAGCATTCTTTACAGCACTTATCAGAATTGCAATTTTATATACATTTATGATGACTTGATTGTCTCTCCCACTAGACTATAAGCTCTTTTTTTCTATTCCTTTTCTTCCTGTTGCTATGAACTAACCTTGCCCTGACCACTTCTCTTCTTCATGGATTACCATATCTTCTACTGAGCAGTGTCTTCCTCTGTTTTATAGATTCTGATAATTAGCTTTCCTCTCCATGTCCTTCAATATCTAGTCTTACTACCAATTGTTGGTTCCCTTTAAATTTTTCATATTCACACTTTACCAGTGAGAGAATCTTATGGTATAAGTCATATGTATTATCTCTTTGGCAAAGTTCCTGTGATAGGCCAATTCATAGCTCTTTGGCAACACCCAAATGGACTGCCCTTGGGTCAAGGCTGTCCTGCATCTATTAGCATGGCTGGGGCAAGAGGTCAGCTTTTCTGAGAAAGTACAGTAATCCAGATGCTTTTTCATCACAACTTGCTTGCTGAGAGCTGGCAGACTTGGGGATCTTCCTTGAGAACTGGGATTGGGTGAAGGGTTATAACAGAAAATAAGTAGAGACAATTGGAGCATTTAAAATCCTTTTCCTTGGTTGGTTTTCCACTTCATTAACTCTTTATTCCTCAGAATATTCTGTTAACACAGTTAAAATGTTACAGAAGTTAAGTAGATTTGGGCCTGATGAGCAAAAAAAAAAAAATCCTCAAAAGAAGATCTGAAGTGTTTTGGAAGTGATAGAGCCTAATTAAAAATGTCAGAGGTTTGAATAAAAAAAGTACCCTTTCAGGAGCTGTCTACTTCTGGTTCACCCTTACTTTTCAGGAGTAGCCCTTCAGTTGCCCTGCCCTAAGTGAAGGGGCTCCACCATTCCTTCTCTGTGGTAAGTTCCAGACACTAGTCCTTGATGTCCTACCCCATCCCTCACAACATGAATCTGTCTAAAGATGGCTCAGCTCTCAACCTTTCAACTGCCTCTACTGGAAAAATTTAGTGCAACAATGACCCTGACAGCTGGCAGAGATAAATTTTATTGAGCTTCAGGAGAAGTGATGGCCACCATCCATTCTCTGGGCAGACATTTTCCATTGCTACTATTGCACACAGCACTATAACATAGAGGTTAACAACACAGACTCTAGATCCTGGGTTCAAATTCTGACACTACTACCCATTTGGCTCCTCTTGTATAACATGAGATTACAACTACATGAATACAGTACTAAATAAATTATTAAATGTCAAATGCTTATAACAATGGTGACATTACCTCTTTGTGAGCTACAATTATTATTGTTGTTTATGTTGTTATTGTCCTTTAGAGGTAACCTCACTCAATTAGAGTCCATCTGTATTATTCAGAACACATCTGGTTATAGGTTTTAGAAAGTAAGCTCAAAGTAACTTAAATAAGAAAAAGAAATATATTGGTCCACACAACAGGGCTAGCCTAACAAATAGAGTCACTTAGGTATGAATAGACCCAAGAGTTCCTATGATGCCATCAAGACTCTTGCTGACTTATATCTTTGCTTTCTTCTGGATTGACGTCCTTCTCAAGCAAGTTTCTGCCATATGGTGACAAAGACATAGCTTGAGATGGAACTAATTCTTATACTTCTTCCTCAGAAGATCTGAAAGACTTTGATAGGTCCCAGCTATGTTCCATCTTGAACCAATAGTAAGGTAAATGAAGTATTTCAGTTGCTTAGGGATTGATCATATGCAACCCTTGCAGCAAAATGGAAAGGCAAGGCAAACTCTACTCAAACACCATGGTCCCCTGGAGTAAAGATGCTGAACAGGATATGTGTATTGCTTAACCCATTGTCAAGGCACAATCTATGGCCATGTCTCTAAGAAGAAACCAGAGGACATGTTTACTGAATATTTCACCCATTTTCCATCTGGAAAACTACAGGGAACCAGGAGTGAGGTTTAAAAAATTGAACAACTGGTAGAACAACAGCTCTGATCAGTTTGAATGGACTCCTAACCAACCAGAACAGAGGTCAGCAGTAACAGCACATTCCTGCTGAATCAAATGCAAACATTGAACTGATTCCTAAGGGGTTTAAACACCCAATCCCATTCAACCTTCCATATGGAGTATTTATTGACTAGTTGTGGCTGATTTACTGACTTTCCTGATTAGAAGCAGGACTGGAGTAGACAGATGTCTTCAGAACTATTTCTGCTCTTTATTCCATTGTCATCTCACATCTCACTGGACATATGCTAAGGACAGAGGATGAGCTTTTGAGCAAAAGTACCAATAACCTGGAAATGGACACATATACCTTGGTTTGATCTTCTGTTTGGGATCAACACTGTCATTTTTTTTTCTACTTGGGGAAAGCAGAGATCCACCTCTTCCTTTCTCTCTATTACTCTACCACCTGCAAATACCTCACAAAAGAGTCCTGGTTTCAGCTGGACCTATCTTGTCCAGGAATGTGCTGCTCCTTCAAATTGAAGTTGGGTGACATGTTCTTCAATTAGAGACTTAGATGAGTGACAATTTAATAGGACAGGTAAGCTTGGCTAAAAGGCCTCTAACAACAACTAGCATGATATGGTATATGTGTGTGTGTGACTTCTTGTATCGCTCCTTCTCTTGAATTAATATTTTTAAAACAGTTAGTGCAGAGTCCATATACAATAGATACCTAGTAAAAGATAGTCCATCTCCTCCCTTCCTGCTAGAAACCCTCCCCACCACCCTACACCACTGTGGTGCTGCCACCTAGCCTGCCTTTAGTTGCTAGCAGTACCATTGTCTCTAGGTCTTGTCTTCCAGGCTCAGGAAATTTCCCAGGCATCAGTGCCCACTCCCGTTCACCAGGAGATGTGTCCCTGCTCTATTTCCACCTCACCCCAGCTAATGCAGCAGACCTGCAGAAAGACTTAGGAATGCTCGTCAAGCCAATCTGACCTTTGCTTCCCTCTTCCTGGTGGGAATTGGTGGATTTCATGCCTGTCTCTTTTCAGGGTTAAAGAGAGTACGGCAACTTGCAAAAAACACAAGATACTTCAGACAGAGACTGCATGAAATGGGATTCATTATCTATGGCAATGAGGAATCTCCCGTTGTTCCCCTGCTCCTTTACCTACCTGCTAAAGTAGCGTGAGTATCCAACAGACTGTCAGAGTAATGCCCCAAGGTGATCTGACTAAGATCCTGCTTTTGACACTAGGAAGTTCTTGCAGCATAGACATCAATCATGCACTTTGAACAGGGTGCCAAGTTCAGAATTCACTTGTAGACCTTCTTAGAAGCCACATGCCAGCCCAACAGCAGGATCTTTTCACAGGTGCTAGGGCCCACCATTTTCAAGCTCTGTGAATTTAGGGGAGTCACTTACCCCCTCTAAGTTTCAACAGTAATTTAAGGATGGTCCCGAGCCTCCTCCTGCCCTAAGATCTTTCTTGGAGAGAACTTCTGAAGACCATTTCCCCTAATACTTAGAAACAGCACTACCAGGCTTTGTGCTTTCTCCCATTGACATCTCGTGGCCACTCTCAGAAGGCAGCCTCACTTTAAGTGTAGGGAAACTGAGGCTGAGAGCAGTTAAACACCTTGCTCGAAGCCATACTTGTCAAGCAATAGTAAAACCAAGGGACAAGTCCAATCCTAGTCTCACTCCTAAGCTCATGCTCTTCACACCAAATTTTAATACCTCTCCTGTGAGCTTATTTGGAATTGTTTTTCACTGATTGCAACTCTGAAACTGAGCATAAATAGCAACTGCATATGAAGAAAAATGAATTTTTCTCAATATGTCAAAGACAATTTTATATGTGTGCCATTCTCCAACTTGCTAGGGGACTAATTGCCTCTGTAATTAAAAGGAAGTTAATAAAAATTATTCCTGAATGTGAATGCATATTTGTGTGTCTAACCAAGCTCATGGTGGAAAGTAATATTCAACACACATTCATCAGATCTAGAGGTCCTGAGTCTCTTTGAACATAACCCCATGGTTGAAACTTTGTTTGGCTGTCTGAATAGATTAGCAAAGTACTGGAGGTGTACAAAAGAGGCTCCAGGACTATTAGTTGAGACCTCATGATGGGTTGGAGAAAGTTAGCAGTTCCTGAAAGACTGATTCTTTAGAGTGCACTTTTGTGTCATTTCACCACAGCAGAATCCCAAGCAGTTAAAACACATGTGTGAATTCTTTAGTGTGCATAGCTTTCCCACCACTAGACCTTCTGTACACAGATCTGGATCAAGGTATCAGTGCCTGGACTGGCAAGAAGACAGTGTGCTACAGAAGGGTCACACAGGATACTGCTCTGTGCTAATGGCAGGGAAGTGTGGCAATGGTGATTTAAAGTAGCAGATAATCCAAAACCCTTTACCATCTGATTTTGGAAGGAGAAAGTCCCACATTTATTCAGAGTAGTTGGGGAAATGGCGTGTTCTAAAAGAAATGCTCCACATTTACCTCATGTCAAATATTTTATTATTAGTTCAAATGAAGACACCAAATATCAACTTACTTTATTTTTTAAGAGTGTGGCATGCACAATGCTGGCAGGTGGCAGTAGTGGGTGTGCTGGATAGTTCTGATTGTGATGGTGAAAGCTGGAATTAAAAATCTCAATAGGTTGGGAAACAGATCAATCCAATGAGAAGAGTTTATGAAGAGTAAAAACAAATGTATTTAAATTGAAGGACTCAACCACACAACAACAGATAGAGAGTTGCCCTGCTCCTTTATATGCCAGGAGTCCTGACTGGACAGCAGTAAATGTGAAAAATAAAAACAGAACTGAGAGGGAGCTTCATGTGACAGTTCTGCTCTATGGTGTAGTGAAAAAAACTCTGACTCTGCTTCTACTTAGCTGGGGAAATCTTGGACAAGTTACCCAACCTTCTGAAGCCCCAATTTTTTCATTTTTGAAATGAAATATACTAGTACCTATGTCATAAGTAGGTCCATTGTGAAGATTAAACAAGATGAGTTCTATTCACATTTGGTACTAACTCTTATGTAGAAGCTACTCAGTGTTAGCTATTATTAATAATAATGTGAATAGTATGTACAATGCACTTAATAATCTTTGGTATCCTGTAAGCAGTCAGTCAGTGGTAGCCATTTTTATTACCACTACTTCTAATTCTGCTACAGTGATGATTATTACTAGTTTCAACTGAGTGCAAGATTGAACCACTGTGGTTGCATGGCTCTCCAAAATAATTATTGTAATCTTTAGTTACATTAATAAAAATAGAACCTCCAGGAAAAATATCAGGTAAAGATCCTAAGAGCTCTGCATCAATTATGCTATATTGAACACTGGAGGATATGCAAACTATCTAGTGTCTTTCAATTTAAGATGGTTTTTTTAGACAAAGGGAAAGGGAGGGAGAAAGAGGAGAGAAACATCAATGTGTGGTTATCTCTCTCTCATCCCCTTACTGACAACTGGGCCTGCAACCCATGCATGTGCCCTGATTGGGAATTGACCTGGGAACCCTTTGGTTCACAGGCCAGCGCTCAGTCAACTGAGCCACACCAGCCAGGGCAATTTAAGATGGTTTTTAATGAGGAACTAACATTGCCAAATGCCAATTATCTGTTATGTAAGGCTCTTAGACCCAGTGATCATCCATTAAGGGTAGATTACTTAGCCCTAGTTTACAAATGAGGACACCAACACTCACAAAGGTCAACTACTTTCTAAGGATCACTCAGATTGTAGGTAGTAGAGCATAGAATTCAAAGCCAGTTCCATTTGCCTTCTAAGCCAGACCTTCTTTCAGTGCATATCACAGCCTCTCAAGCTTTAGCCCATAGGGGGAAAAATACACATCTCATTAAAGTAATGCAGGGTATAAATTTAACCATCTTTCAAGTCATCTTTGATGCATCCAAAAGCATCAGTCACTGCAATGAAAAAAAAAACTATAATTGTTTGAGTTGTCTAAGTTAACTTGAACAGGTTAGTTACAAAAATGTCATATCACCTATTTTTAGTAGGAAGTGCTGGGAAGAGCTTGCCCTGCCACCTGGCCTGATTTCTTTCTCTGATATTTCTTCAATGTACAGTTTGCATGTAGAGAAGTTTTTGAGACAAGGAGTTAATTATATAAGCTAGTGTATCAGTAATCCTTTTATTTGCTCATTTTAAAACCTTTGATTTCATTAAAGAACTACAGGATGAAAGTATAGTCTCTGGCCAGTTGAACTTTTGAAAAATGTCCTGTCATAGCTTTAGCTGGAATCCTCTCAGGAGTTCAGTATAATGTGACTTCACCCACACAACATGCACTTAAATAATCAAGAATGTATTTTATTTAGTGTGGGAATTGACTGTGAGAGTGAGAGGTAGGATGGGCAGAGGAGGGCAAAGGAGGAAAATTGGGACAACTGTAATAGAATAACAATAAAAAATGATGAAATGAAAAAGAACAAATGTATTGTATTTACTATTTGGTACAGGGCTTACATTTTCCTTTCATGGTCCTTGTCACACATTTAGAAAATGATGGGACACAAGATGCAGTGATGCTGCATGCAATATATGCTAATATTTATTATTATTTTTATTATTATTGCATAATTTAGTTTCTTTTAGTCTACACAAGCTCTGATTTCCTTTGGGGAGTACAAACCCAGAGGTTTATTATATAAAATGTTCAGGGCAATTATATTCATTAACTGAAAGAAGCAAAATTTAGTAGTGTAAGTTAAGCTCAAAAGTGCTCCAGGGAGGCCTCCGATTAGCTAATGAATCAACAGTCATATAGTTTTCTGTACATTCCTTGGCAAAACTCACTTCCTCTGGTACAAAGAGAAACATGCAGACAGTGAAAAACGCTCCTTTGGGAGTCCCAACAACTGGCCTGAGATCATGGGTCAGGTGGTTTGTACTTTTGCAATAAAAGCACTTGACTTGTTTCTCAGACAATTATGAGCTCTCATCCTGTGTAGTTCCGTGGGCAGCCTTCCATAGGGTGATCAAGAAAGAGAACGGTCTCTGTTTTCAAGCTTTCTCAGTTAGAAAGCTTCATCTGCTTGTAACCCCTTCCCTGTCCAAATCAAAGGGTGAATCTTACCTTATCCAAGACAGGGGGCCAGAAAGACTGTATGTTCAGTACGTCTTGTAATCTCCATTGCTTCATTTGATAATCTTCATGAGGCAACCAAAAGGCAGACAGCTAAAGGTTCAGAGGAATGAATGAATGGGCAGGTTTGCTCTCACAACTGGTTCAAGAATTCTTCCTGAGTTGTGACTGGAGGGTTCCTATGATGCTATCAGCTTCCAGTCTCAAATAAGACACTGGCAACCTCTTAATGCTAACAACAGATATGAGAGGTTTACCCCATTCAGTAATTAAAGTTTACTGCAGAGAACAAAAGAGCACAAAGGGGGATGTTTCACTTGAGGCATTTAATTTACAGATCTTGACAGCTTGATATTCTAGAATTCTTACTGAGATTAGCTCTGGAAAGGAAAGAGGCTAGAAGCAGTAAAAGTGAAGAGATAGTTTTAAAAGCTTTTACCCTTCATCAGAAAGCTTTGCAGTTTTGTGACTTTTGTCCTACAAGCTGCATCTACTGGCCAGCCTCCCCATGCGTACACATTCTCCCTCTTGTCTCCCTCCTGCCCCATTCCCCTTTTAATCAGTCAATGGCTTTACTATCCCTGAACATACCTGGATGTACTCATTCACACATAAAGAAATGAGGAAATCCTTGCTACTTCCTATCTTTGGTTTAATGGAAAATAAAATCTTTGGCTCTGGAGTGAGAATGTGACTTGGGGTTGGCTCTTGCAGACCCTCTGATTCTGGTCCTCAAATTACAATATGGCCATTAAGTACAGACTTCTTGAAATTTTCATACTATATTATTGGTATTAAGTTTTTAAAACATGTAGGTGTGAATTTATTATCTGTTCTTTCTTTATGTAATTGCTCTATGTTAGCTGTTTGGTTTTTATTTGTAGGAATCCTGCAGACAAAAAAATTAACAATGCAGACTTGTTAAATCAGGGTCAAGTACATCAGCATTTTCTTCTCAATGTCAGAAGCTCAGTGCTCAAGATTATTTATTGAGTGGGTCAGGCCTCATAATATGAAGTCAGTTATTGCTGCCATCAATTGTCCCATTTCTTTGTGAATTGTGTTTGACAGATGTTTAATAATGTCTATTATCTTCTACTAATTGTTATATAAAAAGAAAAAGTCAATTAGCCATATTCTTTTTTTGCATTATAATTTTTTCATCTTCCAGTTAACCTACTTTTTAATTTTTTTTCTTTAGGGCTTTTGGAAGGCATCTACTAAACAGAAAAATTGGGGTGGTGGTCGTAGGATTTCCAGCTACTCCCCTAGCAGAAGCTAGGGCACGGTTCTGTGTTTCAGCAGCACATACACGAGAGATGTTAGATAAGGTGAGTACAGCACATACCAGTGGAATCTCTAGTACCAGTACCTTGGATTCTGAACCCATTCTTTTATTGAACTAGTTTAAGGTTCCCTGGGTCTCTCTTGTGAGGTTTAGGAAAATAACGGTAATTTGAAAAGCACCACTAAAAAAACAGTTATGCCAACACTGCCCAACAATATGTTTAACTCAGGAGGTAGAAAAGGAAATCAGTTCAGTTAATACTTGAATCACGTCAGTGTTTTGGCTTTATGGAAAAGACTGCCCATGTAGCCAAATGTTTTGCTATTTACTAATTCTAAAGAAATTCTAAAAGCTAGTCTAGCATGCTATTTCAGCATCAACTGCCTGCATCGTGATATTTTCCATAGCCACCAAATTCATCGTCATAACATATAACCCAATTTGACAACCTATTGGGAAACCAATATCAAAGATAGATCTATCCTATCAGACATTTATCTGAGATGTTAATGATTTAAAAATCACATTTCATTGTCCTTTGATTTAAATCTTTATGTGAATGAATAATGTCAGAGAACTAAGCCATCTCAATCAGTTTGGAGCTGATGGAACTTTCTTATAATGTCAATGCAATTTAGCAAACACTAATTGAGTGTCTACTATATGAAAAATCCTGGAGCAAAAAGTTTAAGAAGAGATACTAATAAATAAGCAACCAATGATAACACCAGACAGAATAAATTCATCTTGAAAAAGAAATATAGATGACTACAGGAGCATGAAGGTGAGAATGAGTTATTACATAATATGTGATTATATATTCATTTATTATATATGACTGAGTTATTATATATGAAGGTGAAAATGACTTCTAAAAGGTCCATAAGCTCCATTTCACCTTTTTTCAAAGCATTAGACCTTAATATTGTCTTCCTCCTCATTTGACAGGTTAAGAAAAACAGGCTCAAAACTGAATAAAAAGTCATGTCCAATACTACAGGATTAGTGATATACTAAAAGTAAAAATATATTTTCTATATTCTGTATCTAAGGTGTTTCATTTATAAAATTGGAGGTATACTTACCTGCCTGAATTAAGAGAATTAAAGCAGATGAATTCTGGGTCCCTTGTGGTTTTAAAATCTATTATTCTATGGAACATAGAGATAAGTATTTAAAACTGGGGGAGGAGGAGCCTAGATGAGGGTGGGGGGCAAACATGGGAGAGAAAGGACGATACTGATCAGTTCCCACAATGTTCCATTTTGTTCTTGGTTGGGTTGACTTGCTGTGTCATAAAGATACAATCCAAATGTAATTCACAACCTTATCTTTTTCTTCCACAAGTTTATCTATAAGTCACTAAGCTTTAAAATAAAGTTAAAGGGTAAGCATGGGTCACATGCTTTTATTCTTTTCTTCATACCCCCAAAATAAGTGAAACATTCATAACGTGGAGTTAGACTATAAAGAATATGAAATAAAGTGAATTAGCACCTAACATTTCTCTAGGGCTGCCTTATACGCCACACCTTAATGAATTGGATCTTTCTTCTTTTCTCTGAAATCTAAGAGGCTGGCAAAAGAAGAGTGTGGCTCTCTGTGAGAGCAGAGCCATTTGCGGGATTTAGATAACTGATGGAAGGCAATCTCTTTACAGGTATTGGAAGCCCTGGATGAGATGGGTGACCTTCTGCAGCTGAAATATTCCCGGAACAGGAAGTCAGCACGTCCTGAACTGTACGACGAGACAAGCTTTGAACTCGACGATTAAGTTTCCTGGATCTGACTAGAACCTAAAGACTTTGCTGGAAAGACTTTCTCCTTGCTTCAAAAGGAATTTAAGTGGATCCTCTCCCTTTCCAAGGGCAGTTTGGTTTCCAAACCAGTTTAATTGAACCAAGGGAGACATTGTTGTGTTCTTAATGTCTCGCACTCAGGACTGCAGAGACAAAAATATGGTTTCAGATTTTAAGTTTCTCCTCTCCCAAGTATCCTGCTACAAGTACACACACACACTTCTTAGAATGTTTTTAATAGCAGTGAGCCTGTGTTTAAGCTGCTACTGTGCAACCTCTTTAGTCCAGACCCCTCCAGGAATTCTAATCGAAAGGGTTTTGATTTTTAATTCAGTAGATCTCACTATGTGTTTACTTACTCCATCTGCAGATGTGGGCAAGTGTGGTGGGCAGTAGCTGACCTTCTTGTTCACCGTGTGAAAGCACCAGCTAGAACTCTTTCGTATCACAGGAAGTTCAGGCAGGAAGGTAAAGAAATGTTGCTTCTACCATTTGCCACATTTGGACTTTTTCCAAAGACAAGTGTCAAAAGCCATAGTTGATGTTTTGAGGGATAAAGCAGAACTAGCCAGGAGGGCCCAGAGACATCTTTGAAGGAAACTTCCTTTTTCCTCTCACTGGTCTCCTACAGTTTTACAGCTGAACTTTTGAGGTTCCAAAAATTCAAGATGTTTGTTTCTTAAGGAAGTGGGTAGAAAGCAAGCACAAGCTAATGTTAGACCTAAACTAAAACCATAAAGTTAGAAGAACTTGAACAGTTTTGGTGCCACACAGAGTGAATGTTTAGCATGTATAGTCTTCATGACTTTAAGGAATGTGTTGTCATTTTCCTAGTGAATTTTTAGTAAAAGGTGAGATTCAATGTTATTTAGAGTTGACTCTCAAGATTACACTTGAAAAATTGGTTCAAAAACATCTAAAAGTAAATTCTATTCAACCTTTTAAAAACTGACACCCCCCTCCATTTAGGCCAATTAATATTAAATTGTACTCTTCTGTGCCACATGCACTTTAATTTGGTGTAAACTTGCACATTATTGGCAACTAAATGTAATTTACTTTAGTGTCTTCTCTCTCCTCTCTTCTCTCTCTCTCTCTCTCTCTCTCTCTCTCTCTCTCTCTCTCTCTCTCTCAACTCCTCCAGAATAGTACCCCTTTGCTAATTGGATCTAGTTGGTATGGAAAAAGCCAGTGGGAAACCTTATCTTTAACAAGCTCCCAGATGGTGCCCAGATTTGGAAATTCTAAAGAGCAGTGGTGACCTTTTAGCAAAGCTTCTGTAAGAATTTGAATGAGTCACAGAACATTCCACTCCATCAAATGACACTATAAACAAATCACTTCAAGAGAGGTTTGACTTTTTGTGACACAGATGGACCCAAGCTTTTATGCTGTGCACTGAGATAAAAATTCAACCCGAAGCACCAGTGTTGGATGGAGCAATATGCCCTGATACTCAAAACTTATTAAAGGATAAAGGTGATCTGTATGGAAAGTTTTTATGGGGAAATTGTAACCCCTACTAGGTACAACTGTTTAAAAATGAATCATGGACATTTTAAGTACTGTTAGCAGAAGAAGAAAGTTTCTCATGAACATTTTTAAGTATTATAAGGATCCTCATGAACATTCTTTAAGCATTATTAGCTTAAAAGGAGAAAAAGTGGGTTCTGAAGATACAGTTGCCCCATTCAATGGCTGATTTTGATCATTTAAATGTCAGTTCTCCTTGGTGAACCAAAACAGCATTACTTGTGCAAAGAAAATATGTTGTACAAGTGTATAAAGACAGGAAGGCATGTAGGTCTTTTCTTTGGATAATGTGCATTTAAATGAAGTTGATCCTAGTTAGTTTTCCAAAATGCATGAATGTCATCAGACCTGTAAAAGCAACAGAAGACAAAGAGGGCAGCAGAAGGTCTGGGCCTTCCCTAAGGCATAGCAAGCAATAAACATTCTGAATGTCTGTGATCTTCACACCCACCCTTTGAGTTTTAAGCCTCTAGAGAGGGATGTCTTTGTGAGCAGGAACAACTATCATTATACCTTCAAGGAGGATCTTGACTCTAACTCATAATAGGAAACTAATTACTTAGCCACCTGGTATGGGAGGCAAAGGGAGGTTATTCTCTCTCCATCAAGATCCAAGAGTTCTGGGGCAATTTATTACTTTCTGTGTACAAGATAAGGACCTATCTCTGCCAGAGTCTATGTTGAATATACACTTATAAGAACAACTGTAATCCAAGTGGAGTGCTTCCTGAGCACATTAGGAGGGATCCAGGTCCAATTGGGCTGGTAACATATACACACTTATACATGCACACACTAATAGATATTATGTAGAAAGAGGTTGGTTAAAAGTATGATGGTGAATACTAAGAAATTGTCTTCTACTGCTAGGTTAATAAGACCATGACTTTAATTCAATAAGGATTACTGAGTTTCCATAACCATAGCAGAACCAAAAATATCTTTTTGATTGGTTCTTTTTGGAAAGAGAATTTTCTTACAGAACTAGAAAGTTACTACCCACAAACTTCCCATTTGCAAACACACACACACATACACTCACTTTTCCTTTATAGAGCAAGTATGTAAAAGTAGAGAGAGAGGAATCTGATTTGTTGATAGATAGAAGGAAGGTGTTGTCCTAAAAATGATCTTCAGGGAAACAGAAGATAAAGGATCCAGATTGATATTTTTAAGAAGTATGCTTTGCATAATAAAATGACATGGACACATTTCTAATGTTATCACGGAAGTGCAGTATCATTGATGTCTGTCTGGATTGCCTTTCAGCAAGTTTTGGTCTAACAGAGACCACAGGCTTCATAATTTACTAGGATAAAATGCAGATCCCTGGATCCCACACCAGACTTCCACTAAATCAAAGTAACAGTAGTGCCCAAGAATCTATATTTTCCTGAGTCTTCCCAGGGAATTCTAATCCATATCATAATTTGAAATGATTATTGGAGCTTTTGTTTTGATAGACCAATTGGCTCTAATAGCATAACAGAAACTGTTCTGATTCTTTGTTTATAGTTAAGGGTGTTTATACTACTGAAGTAAAGTGAATTACTCCAACTTTTTCTACTCACTTGGACATTTTGTTCCCATTTTTTAGGTATCTTCTTTTCCTACAAAAATATGTATCCAATATTGAATGATAACCACCATTCATATGGACAACATATTCCTTCTCTCACTCTATCATTCACTACAAGATGTTCCTTTTCCTTTCATTGCTTTGTTTCATTGAATGTGGTGTCTTGTTCTTTTATTTTTCTTCTTGCCCCTTTAAAAATCTTCAACCTTTGATTATTTATTTATTACAACAAGAACTTGTAAATAGGGTGAAAGTCTTAACAGTTTTTCAAACTTGCAATGCTCCTCCATATTTTTCTTCGGAGATAGCAAATATAAGTGGCCTACTCTAACCTAAAAGCTCTGATGACAAAAACTTAATTCTTAAATATATTTTTTTATTTACAGCAATTGTAACTATTTTATTTTGAACTTATCTAGTGATTTCTTGGCAATTTTCATTGGTCTCAGTAATAACAACGTATTTGAAATCTGTTTTCAGATTTCAGAACACCCTTTGCAGTTGTGTAATGTTTAGCAAGTGAAAAGGTCTATATTTTAAAGGTTTCTAAGCAATTATTGTGAGACATTGCCTTACAGTGTTGTGGTGTGTGTGTGTGATTCACTGAAACATTTGAGGTGACCAATTTCATTTCATTCTGCCTGTGAAATATTAGATTAATAAACAGAACACCAAAATTCATGATCTAAAAGTAATTCATCATTTTACCTTAATTTAGTTTGGATTATTCTTTTAAAAAGACTGAGATAGAGATTTGCATTTCAGAATTTCATTGAGGAAAACTGGCAAGAGTGGCTTGTGCTGGCTTGTATTTTGTCATAAATACTAGTTGTGCTTATCTCTTCCCGATTCTGCATTCACGTTGGTAGCTTAAAAGTGGTCGTGTTGCAAGTATTTAAACCATGGAAATTGGCGAACAAGTTAGGGATCTGAAGAGCTAGCCGTTAAACCTTCACAAGCACACCACTGAGACCATGTACAATGGTACAATATCTAGGATGGAGTGAGTGAACGGGATTGAAAAAGGAAGAATTTGAACTGTGATACCATAAAAAAGACCTTAGCCAATTCCAGGGGAAGCTATGCAACTGACATAGTCATTTAGCGTCATCACAAAAATGAGGTAAGGGAGCCAAAACTTTATGTCTTCCCTGCCATCAACTAGTTACAAGATGCAAGCTAGGTGTGGGGAAAGGCATTACCTTGGACAACACTATTTGGCTGAAGGTAGTTCCTGTGGAGGAACTCAGTTTTGAGCTGACAGCAGTCCAACCTTTTTAAAAAAAATATTTCTAATCCATCTACTTAAAAATGTTTTATAATGGAAAATTTTAAACATACAGTAACATAGAGAATAGTATAATGAACCAACATGTACCTATAACCAGCTTCAAATATTATCAATTCATGGCCAGTATTTGTTTATCTATTTGCCCCACTCATTTCACTCCCATTTCCACCAGATAACTTGGAAGCAGCCCCAGAAATCATAAGATTCAATCAGTAAATATTTCACTGAATCTCTCTAAAAGGTAGAGATATCTTAACTTATTCCTTAATTTATTTTAACTTCATGATAAAATAAGTCTTCAGGATAACAAAGGCAGAAATAAGAGAATAAGTGAGCCCAGCTTACCCATTTAGAAAAGTTTGATGCCTGTGACAGTTAGAGGTTAAAGTAGAACTTGTCACTCTAATTCCCATTGCATCCCTTCAAATGTGAGGCTCAAATCTGATGGTTGCCAGCCAACACTGTGAAAAGCTATCACAGATACAAATCAATAAAATATCCAACATCAGGAGGTCAGAGTAGAAGCAAGAGGGTGTTTATTTTTTTTTTAGCTGTGGAATGAAACAGTGTTCCTTTTTATTCAGCCCAGATGCTAATTTTTATATCAAAAAATATTGATTGAAGGAGCTAGTGATTTTGGCTCTCACCCAAGTTTATTCAGGATCTTTCTTAATTAGGTTTGGGTCGGCTGCAATGCCCACGGCCAGGGTTAGGTCTGGCTCCAATCACCACATCATGCTCTCTACTTCATCACCGTCCAAGGAATAAGGCAGGGAAATTGCTGCTTCTTTGTTTCTCCAGCCCATAAGTATGTTTTTTTCCAGATTTGAATCATGCATGGAGCAAATGTGCAAGGAAGACCAAAAGAAGTGTAATGGCTGTACTGTGATGAGTTCAATCTAGCCTACAACCTGACCGTAATCCCCAGCATGAATAAGGCTCTGTGTGAAAAATAAATGAGTAGCAATGTGAGATCATGGAAAAAGATCTTGGCATCTTTTGAATGAAAATTTTTCACCAGTCTGATTCAGCCAATCAGTCTGTAAGTTTTTTTAAAGGGAAAAAAATATTCTCTGTTGCCAACCCTACATGATTTCCCCATAGTGTATCTATTTTGTAAATAATTATAGTTAAGTCATACAACTATTTTACTAGTGTCCATACCAACTTCATATACCTTATACTAGTTTTTTAAAAAATCTCTACACACATAAGGCATCAATAAATCATGGTTACAAATTATAGACACCTATAACAAATGGTTTTTCTTTTATATGTAAAATAGTGTGTTAATATTTAGAAATATAATTTAGTTCACTTAAAATGTTTTCAACTAAATATGAAGAAATTTTAACTCAAAAAACTTAAATAAAACTTCAAAATATGCATTTGTAAGATATTTTATTAAACTTCATTCATTTATAATGAAGTCAACACTCTTAAAAATTATATTTTTGACTGTGCATTTATTATTTATAATAGCCAACTAGAGGAGAAACAAGTCAGCTACTCAAATTAATCAACATGGACCTCAACTGTGAATAAGAATGGTCAATCAGGAATTACCAGGTATTTAAGAAAAACCAGCAACACCAAGTGAGTGGCCAAGATGAAAAAGCAAAAATACCTTTACCAACAGAAACAATCATGGGAAAGAGAACTTTTTAAATATTCTA